TACTTTATAGGTTGTGGCCGCCCAATAAGCATTTAGCCTGGGGTAGAACTCAAATGTTGGGAAGGCCTTAAGTGCAGCTGGCCTTTTTATTACTCAACATGCATCTATGTATATGTAGCACGATGTAAAGATCATTCTTGCATATGTACTTATGTATGATATGTAGTTTGCTATACCGTTTAGTAGGCCATTAAATTTAGAATAGTAAAGTGCAAGTTTAAAATGGCTACAAAATACCAGCGGTATATTTGGCAAATTTTATTGTTGATGGTGTTGTGTTACGCATTTTATTCCATACGAAGTATGCTCGACAACGTTGTTATATGACCAACACCTTCAACCAAAAAAAAAAATACTAAAAATCAAGGTTAAGTCTTGGTTAGAATTCTTATAAAAATGATTTGTATCAATTACGTTATTTGTTTAGAATTCACAAAAATGGGAAGGGTAGGCTATTTTTTCTCTCCACCCTAATGTACATACATACATATATATATTACATAAGTACGAGTATACATACATGCATATATGGATGTCTAGACGCGTACATGTACATATGCACATATGTATGTAGGTATTCATTTATCAGGAAAATGTTTGCCGACATTGATGATGTGATTATTGCAGCAGCCACAATTGCTGATAACAACACTACAATTAATGAATCTTTAAATAGAAACAACGTGATAAAATCTGCGCGGTTGTAAAAATTTTCAAAAAACAATAAATGTGGCAAACGAACTAAAAATGTATATATAGAATAGGTTAGGAGGGCCTGTATGAAGTGTTCCATACTTTCCCTCAAGACGAGACCCATTCCCCGAACCGGAATTACATATTCAGAGAGAAATTAGCGCATTTTGCGTGGCATAAACCCACTAAGCCAATTTCTATCCAAAATTAAATTGGGGGAATCGAAGAGTTTCACCTCCGCTATCTCCACCAGACTGTTGAAGAGGCGTGATCTTAAGAGCTTGAGAGCTTGGGCTATAGGTCCGGGCAGCGACATTGAAAGTGGTCAATTGATTCCTCTTCATCTTCATAGCGGCAGCTTCCACCGAGAATTTCAGAAGATCTTCTATCTCTTTCCTACTAATCCGAGGCCATAATAGGCTTCAGATCTCACAGTTTTCCCCGCTTGTTCTACAAGTTATTAGTAACGGCTATTGTGTGTTCTTCAAATTTTCAGAGTTATCTGCCTCGATAATTGGCACATTAGAGCCGCATCTGACCATCTCATCAGCCGACTCGTTTCCTTCAATATTACTATGCGCGGCGACCCAGCCGAGAGTGACGTTGATGTGGCTCACTAATGCCGACATTTCCATACAATCCCCGACTTCATTATCTTACGTCCCGCTGCTTTCAAGGCCGCTTAACTATCGAAAAAGAGAGCAACTTTCCCATCTGGAAGCGTACAATTCAATAGCAGGGCGATCCAAACACCTGTTCACAATGTCAGCTCAATCCTGCTCAGCTAACACCCCTCTCCCTCTGGTCCAACCCCGTTGAAACAGCTCGTTTACTGGGCCTACCCGTAGTTGAGCTTGACGAAAACGATTGATGGACAAACCGACCTATGCGGGCCCCACTAATTTTTTCTTAAACGTGACCGTTAACAATATTTTCGCCAAAAACCCGTTTATTGTGACTGTTGCCACAAACGAGTGAGGTCTATTATAGCATTATGTTTTTTCGAGTCACAAAAATCCAGCAATCCCTCACCTATTGAGAAGTTTGCGCTTTTTTTGTATTTATAGCGGAGATACATATGTAGCTAGATGGTATATTTTTATGAATTTGTATAACATTGCGTATACATAAGTCCCGCATTTGTACTTGTATATCGTGTATACTTTAGCGTTGTGAAGGACGTTGGTTACAAGCAGTATATAGCAGAGATGCCAACTTTGGGGAAATTCCCTCAGAATGAATTGTTCCGGTAAATCGGGAAATGACTTAAAATTTTGTAATAATTGGACTTACAGATAAAATTATGGCCGCACCACATTTCGGCAATTTTTAACACATTATTATTTTTTTTTTGCTATTTAGTTTTGGTTATTTTTTATAAAAATATGGTTAATTCTTTAACAAAACCGATGAAAATCCAAGTTTCAAACTTTCTGCAATATTTAAAAAACATCAACAAACTTTTGTAAAGATTTCAAACTTTTTTTATTAGATTTCCTAGAAGAATTCTGAGTATGTAGTTTTGTAGCCCATTGAGTTCTAGTAGAATAAGGTACAAATTTCAAATGGCTTAAAGTAACTGTTGATTTTTTAGAATTTTTTTGTCCCATTTACTTCCATATAACGAAAACACACAATTTATTCTTATATGGCAGATACCCGTAACATCTTCGACAAAAAAATCTAAAAAAAAAAAACAAAATGTGGTGCGGCTATAATTTTTCCGACCACTGTATATAAAATGGCAAGTGTTTCTTAAAGAATAGAGCAACGCATTTTAGGAAATATCATTTAAAATGGAATTTACTGAGTTGGCATCCCGGCCAAACTACATTTAAAAATGCTTGCAGTTAGCAACTCAATATGCTTAGTGGATTTACGCGTGCCCTGATATATTGGCGTGTTAAGCATATCGCTCATTTACTTCAATAGAGTCATAATCCAAAAAATACAAATCTTGAGTTAAGTACGCATAAATTACCGCTACCTCTTCTTCTATCGAATACCAGTAGCTCCCTAGAATAAGATATTTTTGCTCTCATTGTTACTATAGGAATATAGATATGTAAATTCAAAACCCCTTTTTCTCGAGTCTGCCCACCAAACAATTTCTGTTGCCGGCAATAAGAAAACGTGTCGCCCTCGGAAACAAATTTATTGCCGGTAATATTGCCATCGAATCGATTTCCTATTACCGGTCGCTCTAAAACGTCCGCCGAAGGCAACTCGCCTGGGCGAGTCGTTTTCTTATTACCTGAATGAGTCCTATTCTTATCGCTTCAGGCGATATTTGGAATAATTTTATTCTTTTTAAGGCTTCATTTATTTTTTTTGTATACCAAATCGCAACTTACAATCGGAATTAATTCATTTTCTCGCTGTGAGGCTTCCTATTTCTTCAATCTTGTCCTTGGGCATAATTTAGATGCTTTTGGCCAATACTATTGACGCCATATTCATAAGTTTCGGAATTTTTGAGAACTTTTTTATTCAAAATTGTCATGAACGAAGTGATGTTGCCGATTTGTCACCACAGCAATAAATCGGTGAGTCGCCAATTTGTTGCCATTGACGATTGTTGCCTATTTCTCATGTTTTGCATGGTGGGTGGTTTCTTTTTTTTTTTGAGTTATGACACATATGTATACATACATACATACATAAGCAAATAGAGGCATATTCATTTGAAGACGTACTATAAATTTTATTACCCTCTTTGTTAACTAACTATATAATCAAAAAAAAATAGAAAATAGTCCAACCACTCGAAAATGTTCGCTACCGTTAAAAAAATTAATAATACGAATATGACTGGATTTAAATTTATAACGGCACTGCGTCGCAGAAATGTCTACATCGAATTTAAGACATGAATAGTAAATTAAGACATCGATGTGAGAGCGGAATTACCTAATGAAGTGCACCAGTGACTGGGCCATAAATTGATGTGTCCACTACAATCCATCAAGACAGGTGGCAATTAAGAAATCTACAGCTATCACAAGACATACATACATATAGCTTGGCCATAAAGAAGTTGTTGATTTCTTAATTGTTTTATTATTGCTTATGGTGATTTCAAGATTTTCTTTTTGTTCTTTGCACCCACCTTCGCTGCGACGTGGTGATTGGAGTGTCCAGTAATGTATGGTTTGCAAAATGATATTCATGTGAGTAAATACCTTTTTTTTCTACATATGTACCTATATACACATACATATGCAGAAACATGAATGTGTAAAAATGAAAATTTTGGGAAATCAAGTTTAAAAATTTTTTTAACAATATTGTTAAATTTGCAGATTCATACTTCTGGCCCGAGGTTGACACTATATAATTGTACACGTCAGTTAAAGTAGCTTAAGCGACTAGGTTTGACTTTGAATTAAAAAATAATTTTCCCTTGGAAAATATTATATAAATTTGAATGAAATCATACGTCGAAGGGCACAAAATTCGATTATCTGAAAAACGCATACGTATGTATGCATATATTTTATTTAACAGATTTCATTTTTCAAATTTTCGTAGCGAGCCATTAAATTTTAAAATTTTGAAATCACCGTGGATGACCTAGTTTCATTCATAGAACAAAAATAAGGTGGTGTCCCATACAAAATTGGGTTTTCATATTTTTTTAAGGACCACCCTATTGCGTAGATATAGTACGTGCTTATGACGGAGTCACTACATAGACGTTTCTTGATTTTCAGGCTTAACTCCGCCTCTAACTCTAAAAGTAGTGCATATTTTTATGTCTTAAAAGGCCATCGAACCAGTGACTCAATCAGCAAAATGTGCAACGATAATCAGGGGAGCCATCGACGTGAATTCGCAGCTGCGAATTAGCCTCTTTTGTTCGCGTGGTAAAAATGGCTTGTATAAAAAGTGTAATCGTGACCTCATAATATGTGCTTCGGTGGGTAACCTACTGAATCCTAACGAGTATCTAACTTCGATTCCTGGTTCGAGCAACATTTAACAAGTCTTTTATCGAAACGCAGGCAGGGGCCAACCTTCCGAGTGTAATTCTGCCATGAAAAAGCTTTCCATAAAAACCATGGCCCCTTTCGTAGGCGGCGTAAAAATGTGGGTAGCTCGTCGAGACTCAACGCTTTTACTGTACATACTATTAAAATTTAATCAACTTACATTGATATATATTTTCTCCGTTAAGGAATTCAAGAAGGCATGAACAATTTTTTTCTAGATTTCCCTTCAATATGAACGACAAATCTCAACAAGAAAAACTTCGCCCGATTTAGCACTCATTTAAAAGCTAGAAAAGTGAAATGAAACTGCTGCACTTAAATTTAAAAATAATAAATTCGAATACCTTCCTGTGTTTTCGAAACCGATGTATAGCTAACGAGTGGCAGACTATGTTTGCTTCTAAATACATATTTAGTGGGATATGTTGTACAGGACAAATTTTTAATTTAACGTCGACATACTTTGCTATATATTGTTTGTAAATGGTATTAAATTATATTATAATTACAATAAAAATCGAATGTATTGCGCTTTTTGGAAAAAACAACTTATGTAAATGTGTATATGTAGTTTAAAAAACTTCTTTCTTTTGGCTCCTCTGCACGATCAGATTTATACGAATATGCCTCACTTAAGTATGGACCACTTGAATTGCTCGCGCGCTGATTGCAACACCTGCAAGTGTAAGAGATTTATGTAAAAAGGAATATTTATTGAAAATTTCACAAGTTTTAGTTAAATTTTAAAGTGGGTGATTAGTATTTGTATGTCAAGTAAATATTAAAATTCTTTGACTTGCTTTTATTTATTTTGTATTGGCATAAGATAACAATAGTAAGAAGGATATGGAAGCACTTCTATATTGCAATAAAATGTTTCCGCTTTAGCAGCTGCTCTTGCCGATGTCATAAAAAGAATGTTTAAAAAATATTAAATAAATTAATTATAAATTAGATTAAGTGTTTTTATAGAAAAATCATTTTTGAGCTGGCATTAGAGCAAAAAGAGTAACACAAGCAAAATAAAAGTTTAAATCCTTTAAAATAGTTAAATGCTACAAACTACATACATACGTCCAAACATAATTTGAGGAAAAAAATAAACGAATAGTTTGTAACGTTCTGCATTCGGCTATTTTTTTATTTTTGAAACTTTTGCTTAGCTTAAAAATAGGCATTTAACCGAAGTACACTTATAATTGGTTTTTGTGTGTTACAAGAACTTTACTACAATGTTTTCTTAACTAATTGTAAGGCTTTTTCTACTCGGACGCTTGGCGTTCATAACCAGGCACTTTTTTACAATAGCCGTAAGCAACTACTACTTCTTGTGTGCACAATTCATACTGTCTAAAATAACTTAACTTTGCAAACCAATAAAATTATTATATAAATAAGAGAAATTTGTAACTTAAATTTATATGAGAAACCAAATGTGTGTAAATTAATAAAATAGTTCGAGCTTATTAATTTCTCTTTGATTCGAGTTCACCAATACAAGATAATTGCCACAGACTACCATAATAGTCCATTAATTTTATTAGTTACCTGCGCGACGGTCTGCTCTGCAATGGGAATGTCATCGTTGCGCAAATCCACACGTTTCACCACGGACGATGGATCGGCATCCAATATAACGCTGTCAATATAGAATAACGCAATTTAACCAAATATTTTTATTACACAGAATCAACTTTTGTTTTGGGATGCTCCCTATTTTCCATACCCGCCATCACAGATCTCATCGAACGCCAGCATAATGATTTCCAAATTTTCCAAAACCAAGCGCTTTTCCACATTCTTCTTCAGTATCAAACTTATCGTGTCATATAGGCAATTCAACACCGACAAGAGTATCAGTTCATTTTCATAGGCACTGCCCATCACATAGAAAAACAGATCCACATTACTCTTGTAGACGCAGGTAAGGCCGTCCAACATAATAATTTCCGTATTGGAACGATGTGTTTTGGTGAATAGATTCTTTTCAAAAGCCTTCTGCTCCTTCACCGTGGGCAAGACATTCTTGTCATAGTACTTGGCCAAGATGCGATTGCCATCGTTGTCCATGATGCACATGCCTTTGATGATGTTAAGTGTGGGCTCCTGTGGGAACAAAACGTAAACATTTTTGCTAATTTATTTATTTAAATGTATTTTATTTATAGTTTACCATCATGAATCCGTCCATTGCCAACCGATTATTTGCTACGAATGACGTCTACTTTGTTATCATTTTGTTTTCAAGTGTCATTCGCTGTATTGCACTAGCAGAAGTACAGGGTGAGAATATTTGACAGTGTACATTACACGTCATCCGCAACTGTCAACACGCTGGGGGTAGGCAACACTGGTCACGGGCCACTTGACTTCCGAGTTCATTTCGTTCCAAACCCATTACGGATTAAGGTGTTGAAAGAAGATAACCGGAAAACAAACCACAGCGTCGTCTGTTGAGTTTGATCCCAGACGGTAACCGGAACTCGAAAAGGCAAAATTGGAAATAAGAATTTATCAAATAATCATTCACAATGGATACTGACAGCATTTCAAATTTCGTAACAAAACAACAAATTCCAAATATTTTTGATCTTTCAGCAGTATTTGGGGATAAAATAGTTATTTAACATAAATACAAATATATTTTTATACAAAATGGAAGTTATACAGAAGTTGGATCAGGCTACAGTCACTGATACGCCAAAAGTTAAGCGCCGATCTAAAGAAAAAATAACGAAAATTGTTGAAGGAGCAACCGCAGGCAACGATGATGCTGAAGTGGGCACTAAAAAGGTTCCAAGAATTCAACTTAAAAAAAAATTGACCGACTTATCAGCAGAAAATCAAAACCTAAGCCAGGCTATTAGCGCGAAAAACGCAGAAATATCAGATCTAAAACGTTCAGTCCAATCTCTAAATGAAGTGCTTAACTCAGTGCCTATTGATGAACTGCGATGCAATTCGTCAATAGCAAGCTCGAAATTATTGGAGCTAAGCAAGAAAAACCGCCAATTACGTGCCGAGTTAGAAACTACCAAGAACCGTGTTAATAAAAAGGAAATGCAAATACAAAAACTGGAACGTGAGCTAAAACACGTCGAGGATAGAGCACACAATGCAGCGGCTGAGACACACAAGGTTTGCTAAGTACGAGAACTTGATAGCTTTTAATATATGCGCTCTTTCTTGCCCTCCTTCCCACTTTTTCTAGGATGCCTCAGATGAGCTGCGCGCCAAGCTAACCGCACTACAGCAAAAGTTATTTGAGACCCGCAATAAAAATTCTGAGCTACAAGGTCAACTTAAACTCGCCCAAAAATGTCTGCAGCAGGAAATCGGTGAACATTTCAATTTAGCTACAATGGCAGCCCAAGCACAGAACTCTAATTGGCGTGGTCGCGCACAACAAATCCTGCATCTACAACAGAAACTGCATGAATTAAAGGAGCGGCTGGATATTGTGGACAGGCATTCCATGGATGGACGTCCTATTCCTTATGGCTCTGATGGCATCACTCAATCTGAATCGACACCCACGAGCGCCGCAAAGAGTGTTGGTGGTCGTCCGGGCAGATATGAAGATGCGAAAATTGCAACGAATGCAAGTGCCACCTCCTTTGATCGCTACAATACAGTCGTGCGGAAGACAGAAATACTGCATCGCGCTAAGGTTGAAGGCCTGGAGAAAGAAATTGTCGCACTTAGAGGGCAATTGGAGGAACAACGTGGCAAAGTGTTGGCGCTTAAGGTGCGCAACAAAACACTCAATGACGATGTGTTGAAATTTAAGATAAAAGCCAATTCGTTGGAGGAGCAAACTGATTATAATGGCTTAAATTTAGCGAATATGAATGAGAAGATGAATGTGCAACGCTATCACTATGAAAATCGCTTGGAAGAGATGACGCGCCAGTTGAACGATTTGAAGCGCATACATAAGGACGGTGAATTTCGTGAAGAGGAGCTGCGGGTGAAGTTGGAGAATATGGAAAATTTAGTACAAGGCAAAGATACGCATATTGAAGAGCTTAATCAGAATATAGCGCGTTTGGAAACCGATCTCAAAGCTTTAGCGGGCGGTTTTCTTTTCTCATGTCGCGAGCTGCGCAAAGTAGGAAATAAAAAATTCAAAACTTCTAGTTCAATTTATTGCACATACTTATATTAACTTTTAATATATTTCAGGAAGAATTCATCACTATACTCGACGCATTAGAAGCTGAAAAAAATCATTTACTTGAACACAATAAAACGCTCATTGCACGCAGCGAACAGGATCGTATAAAGAATGAAGCGCTTCACGAGCAGGTGGCTAAACAAAAGGGGCGCATATCACGCTTAGAATCGCGCATACGTGAGCTTGAGAAGGAATTGGAAATGCAGTCAGAGCGGAAGAAACGTACGCAACGCATTGCGGACTATGTAAACAGCGTGAGTTCTTCAGTGTCATCAATGGGCACCTTCGTCTTTGAGAGTTCTTCGCTGAATAATCTATCGCATGCAGCGGTTGAGGAGATGACACAAGCGCAAATTTATCAAATGAAGCATGAGTAAGCAAATAGTGCGAAAGTATTATAGTTTTTTAGATAAACTTATTCTTGCTCTTCATTTTTTTAGGCTCGAATATGCCAAGGAGAAGCTAATCTATTTGACTGAAAAGGTGTTGCATTTGCAGGAAGAGAAAGAAAATGATGCGCGCGCCTTTGCTGATATAATAAACAGTTCAAAAAGTGTTGTGTTGGATACAATATTGAATAATCGAAGCAGTGCTTCGCTCTCAGTGGAAATTAACACTGGCGAATCGTTATGAAATGGGCATTTACAAGAACATTCGAAAATAGGTACGAGAGGATGTCGCATGGACATGGAATTGTATATGTATACGATTATTTTAAATTTATACAGATATCTGTCAGTTACATATAAGCTACCTACATAAACTGCGATTAGAAGTTTTGGTTACAGATATTTGAAATTAGCTTAGAATCGATTCGCTTATCAGTACGAGAGCACATGATTTGTAGTTTTTAGGTGTGAATTTGCTACGTAGGTGAGGCTTAAAATCTAATTTAGAAATTAAAAGACTTAGAGATTGCTCGTAGTAACTTTACGCCTAAAATGCTACAAATAGTGAACTCCCCTGATATTACTAATTATTATACAAATTCTTAGTTTTGTGGGCAATATTTGCGCAGTCTTTAAATCTCTTAATATCTGAAACATTTTTGAATTTTCCGAAAATTGTAATATTCAGGAATTATCGATTTATATCCACGGATTTATAGCCACGGAGTCTAAAAGAAAATTATAATTTTAAACTAAATACCTTATTATCGTGTAAATACCGACACTGCAAGCGACACATTTTTATTAATAAAAACACATTTAATAAGTTTAACTTAACTTTGCTATATTTATTTATAAAATGATTTCTTGAGTAACACGTATCTGTATCTGATCAGTTTTCGTTTTTCATATTCATCTATTGCACTAAATATTTACTATATTATCATGCACTTATTTAATTAGCTTATGATTTTTATTTTAAATGCATACATATTTCTGAAACATTGTATAGGTTTATCTCGCGTGATCGTTATATGTTATTCGAGTAGTTTCAAAAGCTTTATGATTGTATTGTTTTGAATAATTGGTGCATATATGAATCTTTTATATGCAATATTATTTATATTTTACTGTACATAAATGAGTGTTGAGTCGTGCCGAATTATATTGGAAAAGTCTAGGCGCAGGCGAAGAAGTGTTTGGTGTCATATAGGGTTTCTTCGCAACGCGGATAAACATATATTTGATGTAAAGTCTGTATAAGTAGCAGTTTAGCTTTCTACAGCATCCAGTGTTTAGTTGTGCCATTGTTAGGCGAGTCTCTCGAAGCAGCTGAAGCTCTTCATCAGCGATAAGCAGTGTTAGGTAAGGGCGAGAGTTGGGAAGGGTAGTGACCAAGGGAGACCCAAGAAGCGTGCAGCTTCTATATGGTCCGTCCATAGGAACAGAGGCGTTACTTTGGGCTATTGTGGTCCGAATCTCTGTGAATGCCGTTCAAGGCCTGTCGATATGCTGTCGGGTCCAGCGGTTGCTTTATGGCAAGTGGAGGCAAGTGTCCACGTCTGTGGCTCCCTACCAAGAATTGCTTGCAGAGCATTAAATTATGCTCCCTAATGGGGAGCATTTGCGCCTCGTCATGTCGTCAACGTCGTCTCCAGTGTATGAGTTATGAATGTCTGGTTCCCGTAATCCGTGAGTTCATAAAAATGCTTTCTACAGTGCCTGGGAGAAGGTCCTGATTGAAACTTAAATAAAACTGCATACAAGAAATTTTTCTGGAAATTCTGATTAAAAAATTTTAAATTGCCTTACGTACTATATTTTTATATCCGAAACTTGAAAATTGCAGATGTAGGGTATTGAATATAATATAAGCCCTCGATATCTAAAGTTCATCTTGTTTGTTATATGCCTAATTTAATAAAATATTTTTTTACGGATACAACAGAGTTGGTATTTGTTTTAAAAATATATACATATAATGATTTTAAGGGAGTGATTAATTTTTGGAACGTTTTTTCCCATTTCTGCTTTTATTTTTATTTGAATGACTTCAAAAACCGGCTTGCTTCATTACAATCTGGCATCTCCACTATTTCCTATATTAACATTTAGTACATAATATAGATTTTGCAACACTACTTTGGAAAAAAAATTGTATAACATATGTTATTGTTTATTCAATATTTGTATGTCAAAAAGAAGGTTATCCCTGTATAGTAGGATGGTCTTCAAAATATTAGATTATTTATCAGATTTCAGTTGCAAATTATGTAGAATTTTTTTATTAAACATTTTTCAAATCCGGTAGCGAACCCTAAAAGTTTATTTAAAACATGAAATATTCGTGGATGTCTTTATTTTGTACGTACAAAATTTAGATGTTGACATTTGAAGGACCACCCTACTGTATTGATAACGAAACCTTTTTTCTCAATTAGTTTCATACATGTATGTATGTATGTACATATGATGTATGTATCTATAATAACAGATTTTTACATATAACATACGAATCTACAGTCTTATGAGGTATTCTTTCATAACCGGTCCCCCATACCTGCCAATTTTTCTTTTAATTTAAAAATTGTTTTAAAATATATTCAAAAAAAAAATACAAAAATACAACTGGCATATTTGCAGGTTATTTACAAGGTCATTTCCAGGTCCACATTACAAGTGCCTTTTCTAGTAGATATTTGCAGTCGACAGAATTTGACCCTTGTAAAGGCAGCTTTACTGTTGAGCACCAGCTTTAATAACGGATTCGGTAATAACGGGAAATTACACGTGCAGATATGAAATCAAGTGCTGGGGCCATTTGCCCCCAAGCTGGTATGAAGGTCAATTCCTTCCAAGGGTTGACCTCCGATCCGACTTGGATCTCAGTTTTAAGGTCAGTTTGTCTTTATGAGGTGTTGCATGTGATTGAGATAAGTAACTCTATATGAACACAAAATAAATTATATGAAACAAAATTTTAAACTTTAATGTAAAAAGCTGAAGATTTTTTTAAGGAAAAGTAATGTTTTGTGTTTGGTCCACAGGACTCAAATATAATATCTACATACCTGATTTTATCTGAAGTAATGGGGGTTTTCAGCTAAAAAATGATGTTGACCTTGAAAACACATCCAAGCTCAATATGCCCCGCGCCATTGAAATGCTTAATTTTTTTCAAGGAAAATGTGCAGGTGTGCAGAAAGAATGCCTCAAATGTATTTTTATTTATTGTAGTTAAGCATTTTAGGTGTATGCAAATAAAAGGCACTTTAGGACATACATTTTATGCATAATAAGAATTTTTTTGTTATTTCGAACTACATTTTGTTTTTGAGAATTTTTCCTATCTAGTGCATTGAAGGTTGGGTAAAAATTAACAAACGCTTATTAAGCTATCAAAATTTTATGTGCAAGCGCGATGTCTCAAATATTATAAATACTAGTACTAGTTGTTTACATTTGTAAAAATGCTAAATATTTTAGTATTCAGTCCAATAGGATTCACTAGAGGCTTCATCAATTGATAACCGGCTATTACATCGATAAAAGTCATTGTTTATAAAAAGCGGTTGGTTTGTTAGTGATTGGTTTTAAATTTTTTTTTTTTATTAAATGTGTGACATACATATATTTTTTCACCTAAATTGATATTTATTTATAAAATTTTTATTTAATACTTAATTGTGTGTTCTTATTAGGTATTTATTAATGTATAATAATAATTGTTTTCATTTACTCGCTTTAGTCTTTACTGGATATTATGTCAAGTCAATTTTGCAAATTGCTAAAAATTCGTTCGAATTTCATTTATTTAAATGCCTTTACCTGTGTTTGGTCTAATGTTTATAACTTTTTATAAATACTTATAATGTACAAGTACATATCTATATTTTTTACCGACTTCAAAAAACGAGGAAGGTTATCAATTCATCGGAATATTTATGTTTTTTTTTTATGTACAGTAACGAACAAAAATATAGTTCATACTACAATAAAAAAAATTGCAAAAATTAGCGCTATTTTTTAGCAGCTTCAAACTTGCTTTTTGTTGTACTAAAATTGAATGGTCTAAAAAACTTGCATTTTTCTAAAAAAACAATCTGATTAGAAGGTTGCAAATTAGTATGCAAATTTTTTTAATTTTCCTTAGTTTTACACAAAGTTTAGCGATTTTATTTGCTTTGTTGTAGTATGAAATAGATTTTTATAAAAAATTGGCGAAAATAAATTAGAATAAAAAACTATGCATTCACTGTGAAAAATTCTCTTTTGTTCGTCACTGTATGTTAGCGGATAACCTGAGACCACGTGAACCGTTTCCGATAATTCTTTTTGTATCGGAGAGGTGGTACCTCAAGTGTGGTCCCATACTAATATGGTTTAGTTCCGATCAGTGGATCATGAAGAGATTAAGTCGGTTGTATTTTTTGCTCAAAAATTACTTGTTAGCCTTTACATTACCCATTGGAATTATTTTGCTAAAACAAAATTTGGCGCATTGTATGCTGATACTAATTGGGTAAACGATTAAATACGTAGACCATTCGTAGTCCAAACAAAATCTAATGAAAATGTGTATTTTTAGAGCGCGACTGCAGAACAACCTTTAAGTTGAGAATTTCTTCAACACACTGTTTTCTAATAAGCCGGTAATGGTATAGTTTAATGGCATATTGATGCATTAACTTTTGAACAGAGGAAACAAAATTAGATACGAGTCTCTCTATATTAAGTATTAAGATAGGCTAGGTTAGGTTAAGGTGATTGTCCTTTTTCAAGGGACTCAGTTGGTCCAGGGTGGCTCCTACGAACTACTCAGAAAGTACGAATTCAAGTGCCTATATTTAATCTCACTGCGTGAACCCCGTCAGGACGGTGGCCCGTCATTACACCTACTCCGGCTTTGCGAGCCTAAGGAGATCCCTCGATCGCACCTGGCCCACCCACGCCCAGAAAGACCTCGCAGTAGCACAAGTATTGGTTTTTCGCCAAGCATTCGTTGAGTTGACACGAGGCCCAAAATCCACAAGTAGTTAAGGGAACTCCCACTCTACCTTTTCTTGGCGATATTACCTCTGGCCAGCTCATAAGCCGCACAGTTCTCTGCGATATCGCTATGGCCTGGCACACATACAAGTCTGACATGGTAATAATCCGACACGATAAGAACTTAACTAAGGCATTCTCCTACTAGCTTCTAGCGTTTCGTAATGGAGCCTACCACTCTGACTGCCGCCCGGCTGTCTAAGAAGATGTTAACCTCCCTCACCGCCATCGCGCACAACAGCAGCCCATCGACTGCTTTTGGACTAAGGTAACGATATATTGATTTTCGATTACTTAATTTTAACGGTAACGAGATTCGTCTGAATACCCCGGTTATGCTTGATGAAGAAATGCCTAATATTAGCAAGCGGAAGAACTTAACTAAATCTCATATCGTTCGCTTGCTGGAAAGAACGTCGTAATCCAAAAAATAAATATTATTTTTAGTTAAGTATGCAGCAATGCCCGTAAGCCCTTCTTTTGCGTTTTTAGGAGGGGCGAAAAAAAATGGCGGAATAAACGAGGAGCGATGTCGTTCCCACGACCGTCGGGTCAACGTAACCGGAACGACCCAGATTTACATTTAGCCAAGGACTGTCACTTCAGCAACACTCCCCAAAAACTGTTTGGGAAATTTGTAAGCTGTTACAACAACAACAGGAGGAATGTGAAAGTAAATATTATTTGCCATTTTCCAATCTAAGCCTAATACAATTTTCAGATTGTTCATAAAGCGTATTTACTTTAGAAAATCTGAACTTTAACGGAGGGCAATAGAAATCCAAATCATCAACTTCTTTTTAATCGGCCAATAATTTCATTGGAATTAACTAAAAAAATATAGTAAACCGATATTTGCTCGCTTCTTTTATTGATAGATCGCAATAAGGTAATACATTTTTAAATTTACCGAATTTATTTATTCAAATTATTATCGAGAAAACTGCAACCACGTGCCACAATTTTTGCAACTGGGACACTCATATTTTCTTGAGAGCGCAAACTGCTTTAAGCAATTTTGATAGAAGACAATATCTTTGTTATTTCTTGAGCGTTTTTTAAAAGAATTTCTTCTTTTTCTTGAGAGCTGTATACTAGGCTTTACTCAGGTTTAAAATGCTAATCCCAAGTGGCATCTGCAATAGCGATTTCGTTCAAAAATTATTTCCCGTTCTCAGTACACAGCTCACACGCTGTTTTTGTTGTTGTTGTAACAGCATAAAAATTCCCCTTTAGAGAATCCTGGTCAGATATCAATCTGCGTCGTACACCCGACTGTGGTGGGAACACAGGGTAGGTTCTTTTGACGTGAGATGCACATATTTGTCGTTCATCTTTCGTTTAACTTAGACATAATTAAAGTTTTTGCAATTTGCTTCACGACTTTTTCAACATTTTCTGTGTGCGCTGCGCCTATCGTTTATTCTGTGAACTTTATTGTTTTCTGCTTGACAAAAAAACTGCTTAAACAAAAAAACTGCTACTTATAAATCATAGTTTTTTACTGGAACTTAATAATCGCATCAAAACCCCCACATTAGAGCTAAAAGAAACGTTGCGGGCCTTACTTTTTTCTGGGCTTGGTGCAGTTTAGTTCTATTGAGTACAAAGAAAACAATAAAGGTCAGTAACCAAAAACAAATTAGAATAATCTACTTAAATTTTTTTCATTTTATTATCACAAAAGTGTATTAATTTTTTACTTCCGCTCCCCAGATTTCGCGTTTTAATAATGTCGTATCGAGTGCAAGTGACGAGATTTAATTTATTATGCATTCGGTTTTTATGGTTTCTTTATTGAAAGATGTTTTTTTTTTGCATTGCTTTACTAATTAAATTTAATTACATTGTATGCCAGTATTTATTGTATTTTGTTTGTAAACGTAGGTACTATATAAATTTTATATAATGCATGTATGTATGTATATTTATAATATATGTAAACTTATTGTAGTATATCTAAGTTGTGATATAACAACAAACACAATTATCCCATTTGCAAATTCTATTCAATTCATATTAGTTGTGTTCATGAGTTCTATTTTTTTTTTTTTTTAATAAAAAATGTGTAATTTTTGCTTTCATAATTGTTTTTCTTTTTCCTTTCTTTTCTTTTGTTCCGTTTTTAACAACAACAATAATTGCGTGTTGGTGCTGCTTTCTCTCATTTACGCTACCTTCATTTCATTCGTCCTGTTTTAACTCCTTGTCAGGAGCATTTAATTATGTATAATTAATTATTGAATATTTATGTGCCAAATGCATACCTAGGGACATTTAACACTACACTTTCGCTGTTAGAAAGTGGGCCAATCCAATTCAATTCAATTCAATTCGTTCATTCACAATTTAAGTGAAATTCGCTTGGCGTAGAGATGATGAAAACCGAAATTATGTAAAAAGACAAAATCAAAAGACATGATTAAAGTAATAATAAAAATCAGTCTCGACTTGCGGTTGATTGCTCGGCTTTTGATTAGTAGTGGATTTCATGTCCCTAGAGTTGTGTGGCTCATGATAATGATTATTATGATGATGTTGATGATGATGATTATGGTGATTGTGGCTGTGATAATTGTCATCATCGAAATTCTTTAAGTGTTCATTCTCATAATCATTATTGCTATCAGCTATAAATATGTTAATGAAGAATATTAATACGACTACTAAATAAAGAATACAAATTAGTATTACAACAAATTGGTGATGACAACAACAATAATATAACATTCCCTATTATATAACGGCTTGCTCCACATAGTTGGCGGGCAGCATACCGGTTTTGCCAGTGCGTTCGACGCGTCCGGTCATCCAACCAGAATCGGCTGATTCTACTTCAAATATAACATCACCTTCACGGAAGCTCACTTCATCGGTATCTTGGGCTTCATAATCGTATAGAGCACGGTAGACACGCTGTGGAAGAGTGAGAAAGTGAATATAATTAAATAAATTCTTTAAAATAGAAGGTGCTCGTCGTAAACCCATTGCTAAGTATGTACAGTATATTTTGCTTTGCTGCCTCTATGCTTAAGTGCACATTTAAGATACCTACCCCAAAATGCGCATCAGAGGCATTATTTTTAACATTTATAAGGAAACTGCTCCGATAGATGCATTTAGCATACCTGCACATTGGCGATACCTGCCTTAAAAAATATGCGACTAGTATCAATTATCAAAGAAAGTATTACGTTTACCTGCACTGGTCCTACAATTACCTAATTTTACAACTTTTTGACGTAGAATACGTCTTACCTTAAGGTATGGGGGCTATGTTCAAATGTTGTAGTTGTAATTTTTAGAGCTTCACAAAAACGCTTATTGCACGAGAACTAATAAAGCGATTTCAAAGAAAAGTGTGGCGTTTCAAAGATAAAATTCCAAACCTGTCGACAGATTCATTTTTGTAAATAACCAATTCGGTTTCTGTCGTAAAAACAACGGTAAACATTGCCTTATTTTGGGGTCAATTTTGAGCCTTTAAAGTGCTCTAGCAACTTATTGTTGGCATATATAACTTTCATTTTCGGGATATAGGTTCTTTGGAGCAGTAGAAATATTATCGGGTACAAATTTTATATAAATTTAACAAATATTGAGCATTTTAAGGCAAAAAATTGTTGAAAAAATTTGCAAATTTCTTTCATTACCAAAATGCTCGAAAACCGCTCGAATGATTTTTTTTTTGTTTTCTTTAATCAAAAATTCAAGAGTTTTCCTTTCGTTTGGTATATGGGAAGTATTGGTTGATATTTTCTATATATGTTTATTTTATTCAAATATATGGGCATAAATGATTTTCCATACAAAATCACCTCGTCATCATTTTGCAAACACGTGCATATGTTGGAAGTGTGGGAAGGAGACAAAAAGTATGTATGCGTATGTAATGCGGCTTTTGATCGCAGCGTATGTACATATGTAAATGCATATATACGTACATATGAAAGTTTCAGTTAATGTGGATCTGTTTGGTTTTGTTATCGATATTTTTATCGATTTTGTTGCCGATATTTCAATCGATTTTGCCATCGATATTTTTATCGGTTTTGTTACCGATATTTTCACCGATTTTGTTATCGAAATTTGTATCGATGTTGTTATTGATTTTGCTATCGATATTTTCGGAACTTATCGATATAATGATCGATATTTTTATCGATTTTGTTATCGATTTTGTAATCGATTCTGTTATTGATTTTATTATTGATTATTTATCGGTTTTGTTATCGATATTTTTCTTGATTGTTCTAACAATTTTGCTATCGATATTGTTATCGCTTTTGTTATCGATATTTTTGTCGCTTTTGTCATCAATATTTTTATCGATTTTTCTATAGATATTGTTATCGCTTTTGTTGTCGGTATTTTTATCCGTTTTTTTACCGATTTTGCTATCGATATTGCCATCGCTTTTGTTATCGATAGTTTTATCGATTTTTTATCGAATTTATTACCGATTTTGTAATGGATTTTTTGATAGATTTTGTTATCAATTTTGTTATTGACTTTGGAATCGATTTTGTTATCGATTTTGTAATCGATTTTTCGATAGATTTTGTAATCGATTTTTTATCGATTTTGTAATCGATTTAGTTAACGATTTTGTTATCGATATTTTTATCGATTTTGTTATCGATTTTATTATCGCTTTTGTTATCGATATTTTTTTCTTAGATTGTGCTTTCGTTTTTGACTTGGATATGCTCTTAACCATACCACGTATTCTACGTTTAAATTTAGCGGGTGTATCTCCGATACAGCCTGCAGACCAAGACGAAGGCGCTGGACTGTTCCTTTTATTTATTTTGTTCATCTCGCAGAACAACGAAAATGGCTATAAATTTATGTAGTTATATAGATAATTAGATACTATTCGGTAAACAATTCGCTTGCAGTAATTTCTACGTGGTAAGTGCTTCTCCATTATTTACTTTCATAGGGATTTGGATACCTTCCTCATTGAAGTAGTAAAGAAAATTCGCTTAAGCACCTTTTTCGGATAAGTGCACACGTTTTTCGTGCAAAGAAGGAAGTGCAGCTAAGCAAAATATACTGTACATACTTATACTATTAAATTAGGAAAGGTCGGTAGGCTCTAAAAAAAAAAACTTTGAATTTTTGTGAATCTAGGAACTTGAAGTCTACGAAAATCCGTATTTCATTTGAAAATCATACTTCCAAAAGTTCACTGAATTAGGACAGTAAAAAAACGAATCTATAAGCACTAATAGGGGTATCTATTTAATAAAAATTCAAAACTATTATACTATTTTTCGGAAAAATAGGTGGAAGAATATTCTTTCATTGTTTTATTCTCACCTATAATCGCGTAGAATAAGTAGATATTAATCAAATTTGCATCCTCATCCCTACGTTACTTCAATTTGGTTATTTAAATTAATGTCTCCTTGGCATGCTTAGGTTTGTATAAAAGAAGTTAAATGCATTAACATTTGTTTTCTACAAACTTTCTAAAAGTTATTTAAGAGTTTTTGTAACGTCGCACATAGGAGTATTTGTGTAATAAAACCGGTAAAAAGTCAGTTTTATCAACTTTGATAAGTGTCTTTAAGCTTATTATTTCTCAGGCTGCATACATACCTACAGCATTGATCATATTATTATTAGCACCCCAAAGTTCAAAGTGATATTGTTTGCCATTTAGGCGTAGTACTCTGTTCACAGCTGTGAAATTTTGCCAGCAACACACATTGTTTGCAAGTGAAATTTTGACATCTCAAAAAGTGAAGTCTAGACTGATTTGTATAGTTCAGGCGCGTATCCAGTAAAAGGTTGTGGGGATTGTTTTAATATATCTTATTTTATTATTTGTTTTAGATTTCCTACAAATGATATGCCTTGGTTTCCTACATTATTTGAAGTGAAGGACATGAAGTCACTTTTCATCAAGCCCCACTTCACCTCCTTTGGAGAAGCCTTTGGCTATGCCTGGATTTTTCTCCATTTTTTTTTCTCTGTTCCATATAATAGGAAGGTACATAAAGAAGCTGTTTTCACAGCAAAAATATTCTTTTTCACAGTGTGGACAGAGTATAATAGTACACTATTTTGTGAAGGAAATGTTGTGGAATTTCATACTTAAGGTGCAATAAGGTTTTACTTTCTTGAAGAGTTGCCACCTATTAAAAAAATTTATTGAAATTATTTAAAAAAATAAATCAATTATTACAAATTGGGCATCAAACGAAATGGTTTCGAAAAACTTTGTTTCTTTGTTGGAGGGTTGCCATCTGTTTAAAAAATCATATTAGCTTAGAGAAATATGTATGACCTTATGGGTACCAAACGAAAGGGGTTTCAGAAAGTAGTAGTTTAAAAATATTTTGAAGAGGGTTGCCACCTGCTTGATATGTCGAATTTAGTTTACTTATACATAAGTTATACGAAACATCAAAATATGGATGTCAAACGAATTAGTGTTAAGAAATCTTTAGTTTGAACGCTAAGAATATTTTGAGGTGTTGGAAGAGGGTTGCCACCTGTTTAAAAAGTTAAATTCAAATTATTTTATAAGTTAAATGATATATTAAAATATAGGTATCAATCGAAGGGGGTTTGAAAAATTTGTATTTCTTAACTCTATTTAGCGGGGTTGCCACATGTTTGAAAGTTAAAATTCCACTTAATTCATCAGTTAATTAAAATATGTAACGCAGTGTGCGGCGAAGGAGGATTAACGATAATTAAGCTTGACAATTTTTTTGAAGAGGGCTGCCACCTGTTTGAAAGGTCTAACTTAATTAACTGATTCAAAAAGTATATGAAATATAAAAATACCGAAGAGAGTGGCCACGTGTTTAAAAAGTTACATTCAAATTATTCAGTAAGTTGGCTGAATTATTAAAAGATGGGTATAAATCGAAATGGGTTTGAAAGGGATTTATTCCTGGCCTTTATTTAGAAGGGTTGCCATTTGTTCGAACAATCAAATTCGAATTAGTTCATCAGTTTATTGAAATACATGTATATCACAATGTCAGACGAAGAGATTTAAGAAGATTTTAGTTTGAGAATACTTTTGAAAAGGAATTTCAACAAATGGGAGGTAAAATTAGAGAGCTTAGCCTGTAGATGTATGATAAAGTTTTATTTTTTTTAATTAAGAACTTTTTTCATCGGTACACGGTGATTTGAAATTCGATGAAAATAAAAACATGCACTGTGCGTAACTGCTCTTCGCTCAGAAACGGCTGCACGATTTGAATATTTGGCACTCGGATCTTTTCTAACTCTGACTAACATTTGGAATATTTTTTTAGGTTTTTGAAATTCAATTTTGGGCATTTTAACGCCATGCGGGTTCACTAGTTAACCATATTTGTATAAAAAATTAGCGAAAAATTAAATATTTAGTTGCCCGTATTGCAAAAAACTATCTTTACGTAAACTTTATTGATTGACTGTAAGTACTAATAATACGATTGTTCACCTACCAGACTTGACTTTGATTGTTGTTGTATCATTTGCTGATAATACTGTTGCTGATGTTGTTGCTGCTGTTGCTGATGAAGCGCATGCTGTTGCTGCTGCTGATGCAATAGCTGTTGTTGTTGTTGTTGGTGTTGCTGCTGCTGTTGTGACTGCTGCTGATGTAACTGATGATGCGATGCCGATTCGCCGGCCAACGAGCTATAAATGCCATTTGCAGGATCAATGTCAGCGATTGAACCGATACGTTTCGGGTAGGCGTTGTTCACTGAATGGTGGGGGGGAAAAACGACTGATTAAGAAAATATAGAGTATAGTTATAGGTACTTATTGCTTTAAAAAAAAAAATTAAATTTTAAAGCGCACTAAAAATATGCGGCAACGCGTGCGACACACAAAGCGCGACGTTTGGCGATATACGGGGCGCTTGTTTTT